GAGTTACCTGCGTAAGTGTCAGGTACATAGTCTTTGACCTCGATGTACACAAAGAGAGCTGGCAGTGTCAAAGGCTGGTTCCTCTCATTCCTCAGGCAGATGTAGTGATAGCCTGCAAAATGAGGAACAAGCAGTTCACATAACAAATCCTTCCACAGGCATGTCCAGTGCATCTCTGCTATCATTTGTTATTTATAGTGTGGCTCCCACTGAGTAAGAAGCTCCAGTGACTTCTGGGAGTGAAAGGTTTACCTGAAGGGTTGCAGGGATAAGTGTACAAACTGCTGGAAAGGCACCTGGCACTGCAGTTTAAAATGATATTTTCTGTTTATTCTTACATATGTGACTGATGCTAAAAATGGCAATTTATTTCAATTTTTCATGCATTCTGTTTTAGTACCTATGTCTGGATTTTTTTAGTTTAGTACATCTTATTATATTTTCAAAAGTGAGCCTGGTAGTACTCAGCAATCTGAACAGCCAAAGTAAACTGAGATGTAGCAGCCCATCCACACACAGCATCTGATTTTAAAAATATACAATGTGGCATGATGGCCACAGAGCATGTTTGTGTGTATAAATCCTATTGTGTGAGCATCCTTATGAATACATCTGTAAAAAGAGAGGTTCCAGATTGTTTTGAAAGCTTGATGTCCAAGCTTTGACCACCTTGTGGCACTGAGTGTCATGTCCAGTCTGGGAGCCACATGTGTGAGAGGTGTCGGGATCCAAGTCAGGAGCAGGATGCATTGGGGGAATCCTCACCTGCCTGATGTAAGCAACTCTCTCTGCAGGTAATGGCTAAATCCTTGAGTTGGGAATAGTGGCAAGTCTGTGGATTTATGTGACAGCATGATATAACTTCCAATAACATTTCAGAAAAGAGAGAAATTACATATTACAAAGGGTTCTTAGTTCTCTCAACTTTCTCCAGCAAGTTTTCAGCATGGACACAAACTCAGACCAACAGGCTGCTCTCCATCACATACTGCAAAGGGATGATTGCTGGAGCCAAAAGGACAGAGAATGGGTCTGTGGGGAACAGTTCTGGTAAGATTTCACTTACCAGAAGAGGGAAATCCTTCCCACTCCACTTCTCCTCTCCAGTCACCACCTACCTTCCTCTGGCACTCAGCAGATCCTCCAGGAAACAAGCAGCATCCATTAAGCCAGCAGAAAATGCAGCTGGCATAAAAAAGGTGTCTGCTGGATTGATAAATTGTTTGCTCATGAAAAAGTGTGGAGATTCTTCCTCAGGAATAATTTGGCCAACTGTCAGATACAGGACATGTGAGTTTTGTGCTGGATAAGGCACAGGGTAGTTACAGATACTCTTTTTTTTCCAGTGAGTAAAGCTGGGAGCACATTCATGGCCCATATGCTTGCTCTAATTCAGTTTCCTCCCCTCACTGGAAAATCTGGCACTGAATTTGAACACTTCTGTTCTCAAACTGCCAATGCCACTGCATCTTTCTGAAACAGGATCTCTAACAAGTATCTGGGCTTGAAAATGTGGCCGGAGCTGTCACACAAGGTGATTTTCATTTAAGTGGCCACTAATGGTAGTAGAAATAATGTGATTTAGAAGAGGCAAATAATTATAGTTTTCTTTTAATTTTCAGCAATGAGGATGAAAGTACTTTTGGACTGATTTGAAGGTATTGCAGAGATGTAACAGCTGGCAGATAGGTCAGTCTTTCATGTGTGTGCACCACATCCCATTCTCACAAAGATGACATCAAAATTGGTTGCTGTGTCTCTCTTTCTTCTTAAAAGTGTGCAGTTGCACTTTTTAGCTTAAACTTGTGGGCATGAAATTGGTGTACTGGAGATAAGGAAGTGCCACCTATGCCTACAACGCTTTAATTCCATTGGCTTTCCTGGATGGTTAAAAATTTAAATTTTGGATGAAATATGGCATTTTTGTTTTTCAAACCCGAGACAGATTATTCAAGTCCTCAGTTGCTATGAGGCTGCTGAGTGGCTGCTGGTTTAGAGCAGTTGAGATTCTGCCTTGCTGTCTCTTTTCACCACACAATGTTTGTCTGGATGGGGAAAAAGGTTTTACCTGGTCGAATTGCTGAGACTGGCAATATCCGATGGCCAATGAATTTCCCTCCTTCTTCATACACTGCTAACCTTAAACAGGCCAGGGAAGGCAAAACCACCTGCAAGACAATATTGTTGCATTATTAACTTTCAGCTCTGAATGAAGCAGCTCCTTCCATAGGTTACACAGAACACATGCTAAAATTTATCACTCATTGAAAGGAAAAAAAAAAAAGCAACAGGAAGAGCTTCTCTGGTTTATTTTCAACCTACTAAAAATAGTAGCCTGTGCTTCTCTGAGCACAGGGCCAGTCAGGCACGATCATTAACT